AATGCAAATTGGCTCCAAGAGCTGTTCACTCTTGCAGCAGTTGCCAAGGCTGATCTTGCAGTGCTACAAATCCTCTCTAAAAGTTGGGGAAGCCAACTTTTAAAACCCCAATAAAAGCCTACCATAGGCTAAGTTAGTTTTAACACATTTTAAAATATATACAAATATTGTAATCCAAATAAGGTTTACATTTACCCAAGATCAACCACTAAGTACTTCAAATAGAAAGCCTGTCTCTTGTAGGTACCCAAATATTTACAGAGTATGATTTGAATGAGGAATTAGATACCCCTCTCAACCCTGACAAGTTATTTAATGGTCTTTTTCACTTGTTAAGCTGGACGTCTAATCTACGGAAACCTTAAGAACACCCAGGGCCTGGACACAGGCAGGCAAACACATCATGGAATGCTTGTTAGAAATTACCATTGCTTTGTTGAGATGGCCAGCACCATCCCACTGACCTGCAGGGTTGAAAGAAGAAAAGATTTAATGGAGGAAAAAACCCCAACCTCCATCAAAACCAAACATTTAGAAAGAAAAAGGCAGTGATGGTGTTTAATTTGGTACAGAGGTTAAGGCTGGGCTGGGAAGATGAGAGTGGCATGGGCGGGTTGCTGCAGAAATGCCTCCTGCCTTCCGCTCTTTCTGCTTTTTGATGAGTGGCCAATGAAAGCTTATCCCCTTTTAAATTTTTTTCCCCATTAAATCTGCACAAGCGTTAACTTTTCAAAGACTGAGATTCAAAGTGCTGTACCCAACACAGAGCCCTTTTTTCTCCTACCTTTGATTTTATGCACATTTCAGGCTGGTCAGAGAGTACACGGGGGTTTTGTTTAGGCTTGGTGGTGGGGTTTTAGCTTTCATGCTGCCAGCCTCCCAGGATTATTGCCTATTAATTGCCTCTTAATAAAGGTGCTGACCAGACAAAGGAATATTTTTTCCTTGGTGCTAGACTTCCAAACTTGATTTGCTTTATGAAATAGAAAGACAAGTAAATTTAAATTTAAACCCTGCTCTGAAATACCTTAGTGTAGGACACCAGCAGTTAGAGGTCACCAAGTCACTTGGACTTCCTCCCAACAAAAGCAACATCATTTTTCAATGTCCAGCCCCACAGCATCCTGCAGTGCCTTGCACAATTCTTTAGTGTCCACACCTGCTCCATGACACTTGGAGCAGGGCTGTTTGGATGGGGCAGGATCAGTCCCCAAGAGGTTTGTGTTATGCTCATGGTTTGGAGCCGTGTTTGATCTCCTACAGCATAGTTGGATAAAAGATTGTGGTTGGGATTTCCTTGTTCCTTTATTAAAGTAAAAAATTCCCTTTGTATAAAGAAAAAAAATGTTCCGTCACCTTGTGAATTATGTTAGAGTTCAGAAGGTAATTTCAGCTCCATTTACCTTTTATGTATTGAAATAAGCAAATCCCTTTGTTTTATGCTTTGTCTGTGAGGTGAGGATAGCAGCCCTTCCCTGGTTGCACAGTTGTATATAGATGTGCCAGTGTTGCCTCCATGCTTTAGGACATGGTCCACAGGGTGCTGTGTCATTTCTTAGCATGGAGATACTGGTCTTAAGGAGAATGTGAGTCCCTTCTACATTGTTCCTAAAGATTTTGCAGTAGGTCTGTGCATGTAGGTGAGTCGTAGCCACAGATAGAATGGCCAGGTAGGACTGTTTTAGGAGAAGGGTGACTATCCCCAAAATCAGTGTAATTTTTTTTGCCTGCCCTGTATTTCTATCATTCACTTCAGTGCAAGTCATCATTAATTACTGTTTTCTGAAATGTACCTCTTGTATTCTCAATAGTTGTGTACTATGTGTAGGGGTGGGAAGACTTAGCAGCTTTGTGGGGTTTGTCTGTTGAATATCTACATCCAAATCACTGCAGCCAGGGATGCACAATCTCAATTTCCTACTAAAATGCTGAATCCGAGAGGCAGACTAGGGCAGAAAAGATGATGGGGACAGAGGTTTTATCTTCACAGTACAACCTTACACTGCTGCCTTCCATCTCCAAGGTGTGTGGACTGTAGCCCCACTTCTGGATACCTTTTCCTCCGGCAGATCTCCTAGTGTGAATAATGTCTCTGTGGTGTTTTGCTGAGGATTCCAAGGGCACCTCTCTCTGCATTTAATTTTCTGTCATCTTCCAGACTTCCCTCTGTAGAGGTTTTTTTTTGCAAAACCCATACTCCTGCTGCCTTTTGGCACTGCTACAGGTTTCTCTGTGCTGGAATCCGCTTGCCAAAAAAATGTGGGTGGTGACCTAGTCCCTTAGACAACCCATCCTCCAAGAAATAACCCTGTGGAAGAAGAGCCATTTTGAGCACGATTTACTGTTTGCCATGGGCTGGGGTCTGCTCTTCCTTAGGTGAAAAAGCAGCCTCTCACCCAGCCCTCAAAATTAAAGGCATGTTATGTCTTATAAGTAATATCCGTTTAGGTATGGAGAGTGTGTTTATGTTTCTCATGTTAAAAAAAGGGGAAGGGAAAAAAAAGAGGGAATCTGAGGTTACTGTTTTGCTGGAAAAATATCAAGACTTGATTGGCAATATCCCACTAAACCACAAGTTTGTAGGAGAGAAAACAAACCCATTGGATTTTCTAAACTGTGCCTATGTGCTTTATGAAAATGTGTCCCATATAGGTCACTTATGCTCTTATTATAGCTGTGGCAAGTGTACACATAATTGAATCGTGGAAATACTACCCCATGCTGCTCAATGAATGAAGGGAAAACAAATCTTTATTATTCCTGGGTTCACATAATATATAGGAACACTATTGTCTTTTTTTTTTTTTTTTTTTTTAAAGCCAGTTTTAGCTTTCAGATGTATTTTATTGTCTGTGGGAACATGTGTTTTACAGACCTGTCATGTGAAAGCTATTAACAAGAGGAACTGGAGGAATAACAATAAGCCACGTAACCGTGGCATGTCTACTCCCCGAGTTCAACTGTTACGCCGCCGCTCCGAGCGCGTGTGAAATCGGATCGCGCCGAGCGGCGTTAGCGCTTCTCCTGCCATTTTTCACTGGGAAACTTAAGGATTCTTTAAGTGGCCTATTAAGATGGGATTGCTGGCATCAGAAGCGCATTTTGGGGCCAAGCTGGCCGGGCATCGCAACGGTTCAATAGTGGAATGAAGATCAACTGGATTCACACGAGATGTCCGATTTTATTTACCAAATCTGAGCTGGACAGGCGGTTCTGAAACAGTTCCTCACTGGTTCACACATGTGGTGGAAACTGTTGTGCCTTGCCAAGCACCATCGAGCCCAGAGTTTGCAATTAACCCACTTCCAGAGCTTTCAGAGAGGATCTGAAAGGGGCCCTGAGCAGTGGCCTTGGCTGCTGCTGGCTCCCTGAATAGCTTCATATTGGTGTGTGTTGTCCCTGCTCACAAGTGATGGAGTTTTTCATTTTTATTAAGACTAACAAAACCTTGTAGTAATCCTGGATTAGGCAAACCTGTTAACATACAGGAAGAGGAGCCAAAATGGATTGTGCAAAGTGAGATCCAGAGAGTGGTTCATGTGGAGAACATGTGGAACATTATTTTGATGACACGTTGTAACAACCTGGACTGTGCCCTTGCTAATCACATCTAGTAGATTGTGTTCACTACAAATGTACTGTGGACAAATTTGGGTCAAGCCCAATAGCACTTCACTTTTTCTTTCCTTTTATATTAATTTTAGAAGGAAAAACCCTCTGATGTCTTTGACTTCTAGCTGTGTAAACAAACCCACAGATACTTAAGCAAGTTAGTGGTCGACAAGTATTCCCTAGTGCTTTCTGTAGGATCTGGGCGTGAGACCTGTTGTCTTGGCCCAAGGACAGCTTGAACCACTGTGCATTTGTTTTTCCCCTTACCTGGGTTTCGCTCTGCAAGTGGGAGGAGGGTTTCCTGTACCTTGTGGTTTGTGATTGCTCTGAACGTGGGTTTCGGGGAATCTGGGGCTTGTTTTGGTGGGGATGTAGCACTCCTCTCGGTGATGGACTTAATAGCAAAGGTGGATGGGGAAATTGAGGCAAAGGGAAGGAGGGTGCCCTGCCCAAGGTGACATTGTGGCTGGGAAACACCCCAGGGTTCTCCTTCTAGTTTTGAGGCAAGGCTGTTATTTCTCTGAAAAACTTAAAACAACTTGGAGTCACAGACATGCAGCAATTTCCAGGTGTTCCCTTCATACTGTATGTCCTAGCCCCATGTTTTTGAGCAGATGTGCCCCCCTACCTGGTGCAAAAGTCCAGCCAAGCTGCGCAGATGCAGGAAATCCTGCACAGAGTGTTCACAAATAGCATTTAAAAAACAGATTTCACGTGGCTTTATTGTGATTGAAGGTGAACAGGTTCTGATGGGACTCCATTGGCTCTTGTGCATGGGCTGGTCCTTGCATGGGTGGGTCAAGGATGGGTATCCCACAGCTGCTCAAGGCACATAGTTGTTGCATTAGTAGGTACAAACACTCATATACCCTGTAAATACAGAGAGGAGTGAGCCAAGGAAGGCTTCAAAGGCATAAAAGTGATGGGCCTGGAGTGTAGCTGGGTTGACCAAGTAGAAGCCATGCGGATACTCGATCCTCCAGTGTTTGTTTGCACAGCTCTGGGCTGCCCAGCCATGGGGCGCTCGGCAGAGCATTGGGCCCTCCCTGGAGAAAAGTGCCAGATTAGTTTTCATGGCCTTTTGCAGAGGGATTGCTTCAGGGGTCTGTTCCTGAAAGTTAATATTTGCAATGCACAAGGCTTAACTGAAAGCAGGCTGCGCAGACATCTGATAACCATAACAGAGGAGATGCTTTTTCCCTGCAAGTCCGACTTGGAAAAACAAATCCCAAAGCTATTCCCTTTGGAAAGATAGCAATATGGAAAGACAAGCATCAGGAATGGTGCTGCGTGGTTTGTAAGGGCTTTTCTAGTTGAGTTCTTTTTGTGAGCTGCTCGTGTTTGCCTGTATTGCTAATGGGTTTGGTTGTTTTTCCCTTTCTTTGCAGCTGGGTTGCCCTTCCTCATCATTGAAACGAGCACAATCCAGCCCTACCAGCGGGGCTTCTACTGCGACGACGACAGCATCAGGTACCCACAGAAGAATGTGGAGACTATCAACGATGCAGTGCTGTGTGCTGCAGGCATCCTCATCGCCATCCTCGCTGTAAGTAACACCTCTGAAACCTCCTCTTCTGTCCCTTGAGGGGTTTTTTTTGTCACTTCTTTTAGCGCCAACATGCCATCAGCAGGGGAGTTTAACATAGTCTTGCCAGTGTGTTCACAGTATCTACTAAGGTTCACATCTCCTCTGCAATGATTTGACTTTTCTGTAAGCATGGTGCAGCAATTATTTGCAAATGAAAGCATGTAATGAGAGGAATGAGATTAGTCTTGAAGCCTGTAAACAGGCCCAAAGCTGTTTGGGCAAGTCTGTGAGCTTCACAAGAGCTTTTTCACCCTCCAGTAGGAGTTCAGAGTAGAGGCAAAAACACTTGAGTGTCAGTAAGGACTTGGCATGGTTTGTCTCTATTCAAATCACTCTTGGTATTTGCCTATTTTATAAGGTTAAAAAAACAAAGAAAGGATACATCTTTTCAGTTAACAAGTGCCTGGAAAAGTTTAACAGGTTAATATTAGGTTTTTAAGAGATTGCATATTACAGCCATTTTTAAAAGACAATTAAAACCTTCCATGGGGAGCATATTCCCAGAGTCCTCACTGTAAAAAGTAGTTAATGCACTACCTTCCCAATGCCTCTTCGTTTTCCTTTTCCTGCCAGTTTTCCTAGAGCTGTGCTAGGAATTGATTGCGTGGTGAGAGCTTTCTATGTCAGCCAAAATGCTGAACTCAGCCCACAGAGTTGAGCCTCTTTATGCCAGCATGTACCTGGTGCTGGGGCAGAAGACAAGAGCTGTCTCCTGGTTGTTGCTTAAACACTTCCAGCTAAGATGAAATTCCCCTATGAAAAGTACCTACATTTTCCTTCTCACCTGCTGCCAGAAGAGTTCAGGTGCTTTCCCAGTGACACTGCTTTCCTCTTGGTCCTTCAGCTGGGAGGGATGGTGATGGAGAGGTCAGGAGCACTTGTTGCCCTTGTAGCTTTTGTCTTTCCTTGTAGGAGCAATGTCACAGGCAATAGATATTTTAGGATAGCACAGTGCCTGTTTTGGTAATACCCCATCCTCAGCCTTGCTGCTTTGTGACATGAATATCTCCATCGCTTCCTGATCTCTCCATCATTTTCTGACCACATACACTCACTTAGCAAAGTAGGTGCCCTGTTCCTACACCCCCTCCCTTCCCAAAGCCAGCCTGAAAGGTGCCAGACCCCCAATTCTATAAACACGGCAGAATTTTACCCTGCAGGTGAATAACCCCCAAGTGTGGAAAAGCCATAAAAACAAAATGAAAAAGCCTCTCATTTTTGCATTACTGCCTGAGCTATCGGCACGCCGGCTCCATGCGGAGTGCGCTTCTGATCCGTAATGAGGCAGTGGCAAATATAGGAGTTGGAACAGAGACTGGAAACATAATCAGCTGCCTATGTGATCCATCAGCTTCCTACCACGAAATAGCAGGTCAATTAAAAGAGAAAGAAAATCCCCAAAGAATTTGATGTTTCTGCCCTGGTTTCACTGTGCCCACAACAAATGTAACTTAATAAGGTAAATTCAAAAGCTCAGTTATTTGCTGCTGAGTGACACAAATGGCTAACGAGGAATTGAAGCAACAGATTTCTTTGCTAAGGCAGCCTGCATGGAAAATTCAAGTCAGCCTGACCTCTTTTTTCAGATGTAACCCAGATACCAGAATTACTGTAGCATAATAGGAATTCCTTCCAAATCCACAAAGCACTGACTCTGCTCCTTTTGCTCCCATCGTTCGCCTTCAGAAGGCAGGATGGTGGTTGCAAGGACTTCCAGGGAGCTGGCGTTTGGGATGGGGCAGCCAAAATTTCACGCCCTTGCTTTATGTGGCGTCACAGGCAGTGTAGCCTGGGGTAAAAGGTCCAGGTCATGTTTTAAGTGGCTTGAGGACACCCAGTGAGCTTGTTAAGTAAACGGCAGAGATGAGTCCTTGGCTTCGATCAGGATGTGAGAGGATATACATTTGGTTTTAATATCTGTGTATTTACTGACTTCAGGCAAATTTCGGTGCAGATGACGCTGGAGAGGCTCATGCCCCTGAGCTGTATACTCTCACGTCTCTCCTGACTACTCTTCATGCCGGGAGATGGTAAATTTTATGTTGGTGGTCCCTTGGATGACCAGGGGAAGGTGACACTCTCCTCTTCCTGAGCCTCATACAGCTACCACTGCTATGATCCCCTGTGTCCCTATACCTGAAAGCCTATGAAATATTCCTAAGAAAATTAATTTCCTTAGTGATCTAAGTTACACAGCTGGGTTAGCTGGGTGTTTTACAGTTGAAGGTGATACACTTCAATGTGATTAGCACAGAGAACATTACACTAGAGACATAAGTGACTAGAAAAGCTCTAAAAGTAATTACAGGCTCATTGAATTGCTTATAATAATAAAATGGGCATGACAAGCAAAAGTCTGCCAAAAGCATTCACTGACAGAAAAGTCTGATATTGGCTTCTCTCTAGTGACCATCTTTCTTAGATGTGTGAGACAGTCCCTGGGAGCTGTGCCCATCACCTGGGAATGGCATATGTCCCATGTGGATGGCTTGCCAGAAATGTGAGGCATGAGAAGAGCTTAATATCTTTAAAACTTGTTTTCTTTTCAGGATGTCCTTCCAGTCCATGCACATCTGTGCTGCATTAGTTTTTCACCGTCCTGCTTTATCTGGGACATCGCTGCCAGAAAAACAAGTTTACCCAATTTTTAGCTTCTCATTAAGGCTGAGCCATGGCTTTCACTAAGTGGGAAGTGTTCATGGGTACCCAGCAGCATGTTAGTGAGGGAATGAAGGCTCCAATTTACAATCTGCTACATGTGTGCAATTACCCAGACCACCAACGGTGGGAGAAAAATATTAATCCCCAGACCTTTGTTGGTCCCTCTTTAAAATGGTCACATGCCTTTCCAAGGCCAAGAGCCTCAGGTTTACGTGTCTGTGAGTTTGGAGTAATGGCACATCTGCCAGTATCAAATATCATCCTTAGTCTGTCTTATCTTCCCCCTGTGAAAGCCAGGAGTTTTGAGCCTCTTAGCTCCCCTTCTTGTGAATTTAGGCTTTTGGGAGTGCAAGTGGTGCTTTGATCTTGTACAGGAGCCACTGTGTCCATCCAGGACAATCTGACTCTGCAGTCCTCATGCCAGTAAGTTTCCTGGCTTGCCAGCTTGTACTGGAGAATGGTCCAAAATGAAGATAAACCATGGTCTTTGGAGACTGTGAGGATTAAAATGATGCTGCAGCTGTTTAGCTGCAGCTGCCTAAACAACTCTTGGTCACTGACAGATTTCCAAGAGTAAATCTCAGCTGTGACATGTAAACTCCAAAATGATGGTGCAGCCACCCAAAGCTTTCCTGTGCATGGTAGCAGAGCACCCTCAAGCTTGGCCTTTATTTTTTACTATTCTTGTTGTATCTCTCTTTGATAAAGCTTGCTTAGCTGCAATTTCAGCTGCCTTAGGTCAACCTTTGTTTTTTCAAGCCCTGGTACGAGTGAGTTCAAACAATGATACAGCTTCATCTCTTCTTAGTCTAATTGCCATACTTTTCCAGTTTATTAGTTTCCAAGGGCTGTGCCAAGCTTTTAAAAAAGGTAGGCAGGGGAGCTTCGTCTCCTGCTTACAGCTGGCAGGCTGCCACGACAGGAGGAATATTGCTGGCTGCTCCAGAAAGGGATTAACATGAAGGCATTTTTCCTGACAGTTAATTTTACATATCATAGTCCCCGTGACTAGAGAGAAGCAGGGACATGGGGGCATCCAAAAAAAAACCCTCTGCCTCAATTTATTACTCTGGTATAAAAACATTTAAAGTAATGAATAAAATCCTAAAGCTGTAAATCTGGAGCTTAAAAATTAGGTGTGTAGCGTGACGGAGAACAATTTAAGCCTTTGCCTCTTTGGGAGAGGTGAGACATTTGGACTTCATTTCACAGCCTGATTTTCATTAACCTGCCTTTTAAGAGTCGTGAATGTGAGAAGTTGGGTCCTCTGCTCCCTTACAGTGATTTATGGTGATATTGTCAAACCTCAGCACCCCCGACACAAGAAAAACATAATTTGCTGCCACGCAAATGCAAGACCCCTTGAAATGCCCCGAAATAGCTGGCCTTTATGGAGGCTTTGAGAGGTTTGAATTGGGTCTGGTGGCAGCAAGTTTTAGGCCAGAATATGAAGTTTGGGACCTTCTGGTTCTTCTCTTGTTGTGTTCATGATTTTAAGAGAGCAAGATAAGCAGGTTGTTCATTTACTTTCCTCCAAAATCAGTTTGATATGAGGGTAGTGGATCTGGCCTCTCCTTCCCAGTACACCCTGATTCTTTATCTCATTGATGTTAATTTTTTCCCCCACTATTCCAGGGTGCTATTTCACTTTTTTAAAGATATGCCAACATGCTAATGCAAAATCTACCTTGTTTTTGTGTATTGGATTTTTCCATAAACAACATTCTGAGCATTGCAATCTCTTCCTGAGAGGGAAGAAGACACGGATGGAGAGACACTGGGCTGTGGGTTCTCCTTCCTCCCTGAGGGAGCAAATTCCTGGTTCGAGACACTCAGGGCGCGAAGAGCTGTCTCAGCCCTGCATTTACACCCGTCACGGGCCTTGCACAGCATTTTTCCTGCTCTCTAACCTCTCTGTTGTGTTTCCCCCACAGATTATAACAGGAGAGCTCTACCGCATCCACTACCTGAAGGAGAAATCCCGCTCCTTTATCCAGAACCCCTACGTGGCAGCGCTCTACAAGCAAGTGGGCTGCTTTGTTTTCGGCTGCGCCATCAGCCAGTCCTTCACAGACATTGCCAAAGTGTCCGTCGGGCGCTTGCGGCCACATTTCCTGGCAGTTTGTGACGTGGATTTCTCCGTCATCAACTGTGCCAAGGGAGTTTACATCCAGAACTACACCTGCAGGGGAAACGACAGCAGGGTCCAGGAAGCCAGGTGAGAGCCTGAAGTGGCACTGAAGCGATGAGTTGCTGCCACTAAAGGTGACTCAGGGGTTTTTCTGTCAGCAATAGATGATTCAATCTGAAACTGAGAGAGTGCATGTTTAGATTAGATATTAGGAACAAATTCTTCCCAGTGAGGGTGGTGAGGCACTGGCAAAGGTTGCCCAGGAAACCTGTGGCTGCCCCATCTCTGGAAGTGTTTAAGGCCAGGTTGGATGGAACTTGGAGCAACTCTGACCAGAGCGAGGTGTCCCTGCCCATGGCAGGCAGTTCGAACTAAATGAACTTGAAGGTCCCTTCCAACCCAAACTATTTGGTTATTCTATGAAATGCTGCTTTTTCTCTGAAGGCCATAAATCTGTTTTGCAGTGACCAGCAGTTTCCCTTGGGAAGTGTGGCACTTCGCTGAATAATATTTCTTTTCCTTTCTCTTTACTCCTACACTATTGTTTCCCAGAGCTGTTGCTCAGTGTGGGAATTCACCCTATGAGCTGAGCTCATGGTGAACAGCCCGAGCTATCCTGTGTGGTGGAGCAGAGAGCTTCTCCTTCAGGGAGGCTCCGCCACATAGGCAGGGCTGCTGTGCCTCCCCTTTGAGCTCTCTATCAAATCCATCAGATGCTCAGTTTTGATTTTTCCAGGGGCATATTCCACATGCTGCAATTAAGTGACCGGAGAAGTTGCTCACTTCTTATTTCTTTACGGTTTCCTGGTTATTTGAGGCAAGATGATGAGTTATCAGGTTATCCTGGAAATAACTGCTGTCCCACAAGTAGACCAGGAAGGGACGAACAATGCGAGCATCCTGTCCATCCGTTCGCTTTCTGCCTCATGAGCAAGCAGGGCGGATAACACGGGTTTTATAACCCAAAGGATTGGGGGTTGTGGATCCCTCTGCTTTGGCACCCTCAGTGGAGGCAGGGAAGTCACCGTATTGTATGTAAAATTATAATTTTGAAGCTTTTGCTGGCTGGTTCTTAGCACCTGCTTTGTTTTGCAGGAAATCCTTCTTCTCCGGGCACGCGTCCTTCTCCCTGTACACCATGCTGTATTTAGTGGTAAGTAACCTCACTAAGCTGATTGATCCCCTGTCCCCCTTTCCTGCAGCACTCAGTCCTGTTTCACATCACTAACGGCACTATGAGCATCAGAGGTAGAAAGTTGGTTGAAAAAAAAAGGAGTGAACTGGTGGTTGGGAAGGTCCAGTCTCAGACGTTATTTGGGATGGAAACTCCTGGGGTGATAGCTGAGCTGTGTGCAGCTTTGGGATGTAGCCAAGGTTGCAAATAAATCCAAATTCTACCAAATTTGTGGATGACCTGTGCAATTTTGTTCTCCCTATATTGTGGTTTCCACTGAGGAGAGTTTGGGGCGAGGCAAAATGTTTCAATGGATGGAGGGGGAAGATGTGCAGTTGTGGCTCTGTCAGGGTGTGACGGCCGGTTCTGAAATGTGCCAGTGGAGCAGGTGGAGCAGCCTCTGCCTGCCTGGTTCCGGAGCAGAGGGCTGGGACTTGTTTTTCTTTGTCAGTGAGAAATGGCTCTGCCCTTCCTGTGCCGGGGCTGGGGGCCGGGGTGGCTGCCAAGGTGCTTCCTGCCAGGACTGCAGGAGGTATGCTGCCCACACGGGCTGGACCCACACACGGTGTTTGGGAGGGTCTGGATAGTGATTTGTGTCTGGTTTTCCCTATTTAAAAATTATTTATTTTGTAAAAAATCAGGCAGAAAAAGATTTTTTATTCCTTTTAAGATTTGTGCACCTCCTCCATCCCCTGTGAGCTCAAACTAGCAAGTAGAGAAACAGCACAGCACTGACAAAAACATTAAACATGAGCTTTTATCTATGAGCAGTCCTTCCCCCAATCCATTACCCTTTGGAAAGATAAGTGACCACTGCTCTCTCCTGCCTTTTCAGCCCTGGATGCCCCCTCCCTCTGAGCAATTTCTGTTAACTGAATGACTGAACTTTCCAGGCGGTTGTGGGTGGCATAGTAAATTATTTCTTTGTTTTCCCTCTTACTTTATTTTGTTTTTGGAAAACTTGTGAATTTTTTCAGTAAACATTTTGGCCATTTCCTCCCAGCCATGTTACAATAAGAGCTGCCTTGGTGATGCTTCACAGGAGGCTCAGCCCATCGTAAAACTTTCTGAGCTGAGTTTGGAAACCATCGCTCACACCAGCATTTATTTATTTCTGAGGAGACCTGTGGGCAGTCAGATAAGGCAGCCCTGAGATGCTTTTGAGCCCAGCATCTGGAAACAGCAAGGACTGCCAGTCGCTATTAAGTTGGTGATGGTTTCTCTACCAGGGCTTGACCCTCTTTCTGCAGGGTGCTGGACAAACCTTATTACTTTACCAGTTTCTTTTTCCATGTGTTTTTCTGAAACTCCAGCACTTGTGGAGCAGATGAGAAACAAATTAAAATACAGTGCCTGGGGGGTGCTGGTGGCAGAGAGTGCACTGGAGACCCCAAAACTGCAGAGTACATTCAACATTCCCACAGGGTGCATGGAAAACCTGCTTCAGAGGGTGAGGCTTTGGGGCAGAGAGCTGCCTCTGGTCTTCCTTTGCTGCATTCCCTGTCCCTGTACGGGAGCACTTGAGCTATGTGCACTGAGCAGCCCCTGTCCCACACCTCCAAGTCCAGGACAACCGGCTGCTCCACTTATCCCTTTGCATGGAGGGCCAATCCCTTTACAAATTATTTTATTTTTCATGTTTAACTTGTCCCAAAAGTGTGATAAGGCTGGTAGCAGGCTCTGTCTGACCAGTTGTCCAGTTGCTTTGTGCCCTAAGAAGTTGGGGAAAATTACATCAAGTGTTTGGTTATAAATTGAAGGGAGAAAAAGGTAACTTGTGACAAGACATTGTGATGTGGTGTGTATCAGAGGTGATGAAATTATGATCTTAAGAGTCTTTTAGATAAAGAAAATGAGCTTTAATCATTCATTTCATAAATGATTTTATGATTCTAACATGTCTAGGAACATCCAGATCCTTGATCACTGGCTGAACTTGAATGAAAAATCTCATAGAAAAAGAGAAGCAGAAAATGTCAGACTAGGAGATGTTGATAATACCCAAAAATAATTATTTAAAAAAAAATAAAGAAAAGAAAAAAGAAAAAATGTTACAATAATCCAGAGTGATTTTATTTCATGCAAGATAAACCCTGCTGTCTTGCCCACCTCAGTGAATGAGTTGGGGTTTTTAACCTGCTTAGAAATGTGGAATCCACCATGCCAGTGCCTGCAGGAGGTGAGTTTGATGGATTTCATCAGGGAATCATCTCAATCAAGACCTCACTGGTTCCTAGGAAGTGAAGGCTGTGCTGCAGCAGGTTGCTGCCTACACTTTGGATACCAGGACTTTGCCAGGAGCTTCTGCAGAGTGGGAGTGTTTGTGGGGCTGAGTGTGTCCTGCAGAGGTTTGGCTGATCACTTGTGTCCCAAGTGTGTTCCCGATTGAACAATACTTCATATTTCAAGGATAAGTCACTTCCCGTCTTTCCTGGCGTTGCCTGGCTTCACTCTCAGAGCCCATTCTGAATTAAAATGTTTGCCTCACCTGATGGAGATGGGTGCCAGAAAACTTCAGCCAGTCTGTTAAAAGATATGCAGATTCCCACGCATCCCACAGGGCTTTGCCTGCACCATGGAGCTGGATTTGTCCAGGTATTTTGGGAGCAGTGGGTGAGTGACCATGGCTATCCCATTTCCCAGTCCAGCAGCAGAGTCCTGTATTATCCATGGCCTCCTGGTAATAAAACACCAATAGGTGCCAAGCTCTGGAGGGCTTTGGGGGAAAAGTCCCAGGGAAAGGCACTTGCAACACAGGAAAATCCCCAGGGATTTAGTTCTGAATGCTGAGACTTTAGGGCTAAGTTTCTCGCAGCCTTCTTGTCACCAGGAATACTCAATTAACATCAGGCCTTTGTATAAAAATTTTAAAAGGGGAAATTACACTTGGGTAATCCTCTTTGTCTTAATTTTCCTTGCTTTGTTACTGCTTGGCTGAGTGAGCTGTGATACATATTTATAGTAGGCTGAGGAAAGAGGAGGTAGGGAACAGCTTATTCCAGGCAGCCCTCTGGACCTGACCCACACCTCTTGGTTTTGTTTCTCTGGATGTGGGGGAGTCTGTAGAGAGCAATGGATGCTTTCTGCACCCCTCAAGCATGTGAGACCATAATGCTGATATTTTTTGCAGCATGAAGTTGCCTGGAATCACAGCCAACCACACAGAGGGTGGAGAAAAGCTAAATTTTAATATCAGGAAAACTGAATTAATATCTGTCAGCAATGTTGACTGATTCTGGATAAAATGCAAGTAAACCAGGGCAGCTTGTGTATTTATTGTGTGTTGGTGGGTGAGGCTAGAGACTTCAGATCAGAATGGATTGTGATGTGTTCTACTGATTTAAATGAAAAATCAGAGATGTTGGTTTTGTGAGGGGAGTGTGAGGCTTCTCACTGGAGTTCTTGCTGAAGGGTAAAGAAAGTCTGGTGCTGTTGAGCAATGTTGTGCCCTTGTGAAGGAACCCCTGTGGTGATTGTGGACTTGGAGTCAAGTTTAGTGGTGACCTAAGTAAGCGAATAAACTGGAATCACATCAGAGGCCAAGGCTGAGGTGTCACTGGCATTGCTGAGCTGATGGGGGTATTCCTGATGAGGTGTGAGGATGCTGTATGCTCAGCAAAGGCAGGGAAGAAGCAAACAGCACATGCCTTTTGTGCTGAGAGGTTTTTGCCCATCTCCTGTCCTTCTCTTCTGGCCAGCTTAGTGCTAAAAGCCTCATTCTGTATTCCTTGTCCTCTAGCTGACTTTGTCCAGCCGGGGCAATGTGTTACACCGGGGTGAGTCTGGGTTTGAGAGGTTTTGTCCCTGTACCACTTTGGGTACCACTCTGTTTGCAGATGGGGCTGGAGGTGGAGGTCACTTCAGGTCAGACAGCCAGAAACATGCCCAGCTGTTTCCCAGAAGGAAACTTTAGGTGTGACTAAGGGTCATGGTTGAGGGAGTTCAGCCTTGTGGTGGGAGAGTGTGAATAGGACGGGATTTCTGGATAGCAGAAAACCCCGGGAGGCTGGAGGTGACTCTTTTAAACCGTGTCCTCTGCCAGCTACTCCTCGATGGGTTTGCTCAGTGGTTGTGTGTGGCTGTGGGCTGTCCCCACCAGCTCTGTGGAAGTCCCCTGGCACAAGAAGAGTGATGTGACGTCCCTCAAGCCATCTGCTTTGTGGTAACTCAGCCTCTGCCAGCAGACAGTGGATGGGAACTCCAAATAACTCCTGCTCTGTGTGATCCCATTTCATGTCATTCCATCCACCCCTTCTCCTGTTGATGCTCCTGGTTTTCACTGCCCTGTGATGATCTGTGGTGGAAATAACCCCAGCTGTGGTTTTGTTCCTTCACCCCCTTTCAGGAAGGGTTCCATCCAGCCACTCATTCCCATACAAATCTGGCAGTCCATAGCAAGCAGCACTTCAGATCCGCTCCCAGGTTTAAAAATACACAAAATACCTTCATAAGCAGATTTTCAGATAAATTTCCAGGAACTTCCTATTTCTTGGAAATAGCACTAATTCCTGCTTTAGGGAAATTCTGATCTTTTCAGCCCCTAAGCTCTACTTTCCCTTTTTGATCTTCTCTTATTAGCTGTGTTTTACTTTCATACTGTGGGCAGAGGTGAAGTTTGGAGCACTCTGAGTCTTGCCTTGAAAGTATTTAGGGGATCCTCAGCACCCTGGTGTTTCAGAGCAGTTTCCATTATACTGCATGTTCAAAGTACGTCTGTGGAATATCAGAAGTGTTGTTACCCTCTTTTTCTTTTTCCTTGTGAGTGGGGAAATAAAGAGCAATTTTTCCATTACCTTTATTGTGGCAGTAAAAGGAACTCAGCAAAGATCCTCACACTGGTAGTACAGTGTGTGAGGGTCATCTGTTCCTGTGGGTTTTACTTCTTCAAGATATGCATGTGTGGGTGTGAGTTGAGTGCTGGGGGCTTTGGGTGACACCCAGCATACCCTGTGTGGTGCCACACTGCCTTTGCACTCCTTTTCCAGGGCTAAAGTATGTAGTTAGGCACACAGTTCAGCCCCAAAAGTGTCTGTTTTATTGGGGGTTCAAACCTGGTATTAGCTTTTTATTGCTAATTTTTAACTGATACTTTGCATCCTCACCTCTCAATGACCTGTTTAGTCCAGGCTTGTGGGATGGAATGATTTAAGGAGGTGTCAAGACTGTGCTAAAGTGACAAATGTCAGATTATCTGGCAGCAAATTTCTTTCTTAAGGGGTTTGATGTGACAGAGACACAAGATTAAAACAAGACATCAGGTTTCAAGTCTTCCTGGTAGAACTAAGAGTGATGGTTTGTAATATATAATACTTGGAGCTAACTTTGCTCTTCAGCAGGTACCTGAACCTGAATTTTGCACTGTCACCTGGCCTGAGCTGAGGCTCTTGAACACGAAAATAGAATCCTAGAATGGTTTGGTTTGGAAGGGACCTTAAACATCAACTAATTCCAACCCCTTGCCATGGGCAGGGACACCTTCCACTAGACCAGGTTGCTCAAAGCCTCGTCCACCCTGGACTTGAACACTTCCAGGGATGGGGCACCCACAACTGTGTCATACCTGCACATGTATTCTCAGGGGCAGATCACTGGGTGCACAAATACCATGGCAATGAAAATTATTGTCACAAACTAGAGAACCACCCCAGTGGTCCATGTGCTGGGCTGCATCAGCGTGGGTCTGCTGTGGGATCTGAGAGCTGAAACTCATCCCGTGCATCGTGTGCACACGTTTTCATGGTGTGGGGTGTGCACTGTGGGGACGTGGCTCCGTTCCCAGGCTCAGGCTGGTTTGCACATATATTCCCCAGAATCATAATGTGCATTAGCAAGCACCAAGCTGTTTTGGTATTGCTCTCTTCCATGTTAATTGGCTAACAATTTGGATAATTTGGAGCATCTGCTCCATTCAAATGACATGATGTTTCATTTCTTCTGAAGAGCCCAGTGTGTGTTCTTTCTAAAAAGGGGTAAATACAATGTTTATGCAACAGCCAAATGTACTAAATTGGCCAAAATGATGCTTCCCCCTTATCAGTTTCCCAATTAGTTCTGCTTTTATAGGTAAATGGTGTCATTAAGTTATTTGTGGTTTCAGGGAACGCAGTGAGAGCTTCATTCCCTTCATATCAAGGCAATGCAAAGTGCTCTGGGTGTGTAAAAGGGATCATAAATGGGAATTAAACCCCTTTCCAGTCCTCTGATGTTGCAGAGCCCCTTGAAGCACACCAGGTCTGACTTCTAGTGCTTCATTTAAAAACAGGCAGAAAAGATCTACTTCAGCTGAGCCCATGGGTTGTGGGTCTGAGCTGCAGGAGCTGAGCTGCATTTGCCACACATTTTACACTCTTTGAGAGTCTCTCTGCTCCCCAAGCCTGAAGGCATCCCTCCCTTCCTGTAGCCTTCCTCCTTATGCTCATCTATGAGCAGTGAGTTGCCGTTTTCCTGTCCTCTCTTCCCACCCAGCTTCCCGGTTCCCACAGGAACCAGCCATACCCCTCAACTAAAACGGAAACGGGCCTGAGATAGTCACGACAGGGGTACAATGCCTATTTGACATCATGTCTACATCATCTTTTTGGGTTGGGCCAGGACTTTTCATGTTATTCCCACCCAGTGAGAGAATTCCCATGTTAGAGGATGGCATTGTACACATCACCTGTGGTTGTGGCCGTGTCTGGAAATCCTCAGGACTGGCTCTGAATGTGTGGCATCCTGCACTGATTCCTTTTTTTGCCTCTGAGAGATGCTGTGAGTCCTACATACCCCAAATTTGGGACCTTGCTTCTGTTACATACTAAATAGCAATGGAGAGGAATTTCCTTACTCAGCCCCATGGGATTTTGTGTGGAGGCTGAAGTGGGGCCATGGTGTGAGCCGGGATGCAGGGTTTCCCAATCACCTGATCCTGGCTCACTGAGTAAAGTCTTCACCCATCCTGTCTCCATCCCCTCCATGAGTTAAAATCCTTCCAGCTCCACTCTGCTCTGCACGATGGAGGCCACACATGTGCAAGGAGCTTCCTTCTTCTCTGACAACTCCCCCTCCCTGACCCACAGGACTGTGGGTGCCTCACGGCCAGCCCCACAGAGCAGTTGCTGCTGTATGTGCGTATTTTGGGCAAATTAACACACAACCTTTCTGTTCTCCTCTCTTCCCGCAGTTTTATCTGCAGGCCAGATTCACATGGAAGGGAGCCCGCCTGCTCCGTCCCCTCCTCCAGTTCACCCTCATCATGATGGCGTTTTACACCGGCCTGTCCCGCGTGTCAGACCACAAGCACCACCCCACCGACGTGCTGGCAGGCTTTGCACAGGGAGCCCTGGTGGCTTACTGCGTGGTAAGTGTGGAAAACCAGGGATGCTGGGAGGGCCCTGGGGGAAACAGCAGATGCCTCTGCTATCTCAGGTAACTCCACTTAAAATCCAGGGAAGTGGCAGGGGGCTGCGTTCTCCAGAGGCTCAGTCCAGGCAGATCAGGGTGCTGGGAAGGCATTCAGTCAAGGGAGAGTATTTCCCTCTTGCCCAGCAGCACTGGCTTCTCCAGCTGCTCATTCTCAGTAATAAGCACTGGCTCGTTAGCAAGGCTTTCCACCAAGACCCAAGCAGAGAGTCTGGGGTGATTGGGATTATGGCACTTCCCAATACAGTCCATGCAGAAGCTGTTCCTGGGCACAGGAGCTGTGTCTGCCCGATAAGGGGAGGCAGACTGCCTTGATGGATGGTGGGTTTTCATTGAGGAAAAGGGCTCGTGAGAAACTGGCAAACAAAAGCTGTACCCACTTGTCTTCAGCTGCTGGGCTTGTTCTCGTGCCACTTGTTTTCCAAAGGATGACCTGATTGCACAGCCCCGTAACTCAAAGTGACACATGAAGATGTTTAAAGCTGCCAGGATGGGGAGCACCAGATCAGGCAGCTGCCTCAGATAGACACAAAGGAGCTGGGAGTTGTGGTAGTTTCTGTGTCTGTACAAGCTCCTGAAAGCAAGATTTTAACAGCTTACCACTTTTTAAGTTAGTTTTTTTAAGTTTGTTTTTAGCTGATCTAAAAGTAAGGCAGCCTCGGAGACAAGGAGTTAAGTTCACTAACGTTACATTTTGCAAGGAGAGAGAATAGGTTATTTATGTACTTCCCACTCATTGATAATATTCCAAAGCCGAAATAAAAATGCCATTGTTGGGAAGTTTTTATGAAGTATTATTAACTTTCTGAGCAGTAGCTGTTGGGTTTTCCCATTGCTTGATGCTGGTGTCCCATGCGGGGCCAGCAAATCCAGAGCGGGAAGTGAGAGAAGTGTGTGTGTTTTTATGCTTGAGAAGTGGGTTAACAGCATTATATAAGGGGAGTAGGGACCAGCCAATCCATCTCTGGATCCCAGCAGCAGTTTCAGAAAGACAATAGCTCTCCAGATGCTCGGGATGGGTGTCCGGCTGCTTCCTGGCTGGGAAAAGCAGCAAGCCTGGCTGTCCCCTCCCAGCCCTCCGGCAGCTGGAAGCTGTGCTGGGAAGGGGAGGCTGTGGTGGTGCTGGGTTAGTTTTCCTGTGTCGAGGTAAACCGACATAGGAAGCAGCTGCCTGGAGCTTCCCAGGCAGGCTCTGGTTTTTCTGCGAGCCTGGGGCAACCTGTGTTGCTCTCGCAGCCAGCCCGTGGAAGGGGCAGTTGTCTCCAAGCCCTTTGCAGGCATAGCTCAGTGACTTGGAATGTCTCAGGCTGCAGCTTAGGACTCAGGACAGGGTTTAAACCCAACCCTTGTCCCATTTCATCAGCTTTCAAGGAACCATCAGGTATATTGCTGTTCTCCAAAACCTGGCTTTGCTAGTGGGGCCCTTTGCCTAGGAGGGGCTGGCAGACTTTTGTCCATCTTGGGGGGTGATAGCAAGGGACGAGAGGAAGACTCATCCTGGCACACCCTGGAGATTGCATTGAATGAGTAGGTTAGCAGCTTTTTGCTAAAATTATTGGTATGGTGGTTCTTGCCCAAGTCTCATGTCCGGGCTTCTGAAGCAGAGGGAAAAACCCAGAGACTCATCACCTCCAACCCTAGGTGCTTTCAGCCAACCCCTCCCCAGCAAAGCCCTCAGGAGTCCACTCTGGTGATAGTCAAGAGCTGTTAAAACACCACAGTTATCAGGCCATAATTTTCAGAAGAAACCAATTGTGGATTTCATCTCTGAAGGCTGCCAGAGCTTAAATCCAGGTCGTGCTGCAGCAGACACGTTTGTCTTTCAGTGCCTGAAATAACAAGCAGAAGACATTAATGTCAAGCACTTCCAGCTGATGAAACATTCAGACTTGGATCCAGGGTGAAATACGATGAGGATTTCTTAAATAGAAATAGTTTTTATATGCTTGCTATGTGTTGTGTAGTTTATGTCTCATCTGAGGGTGAGAGAAAAGGGGGATGTTGGAAGGACTTGCTCCCGGTGTTGCTCTGGTTAGCTTAGATGAGTTGTTTTAACCTCTCAGTATATGATTAAAAATTTCTTCAATATAATGAAAAGTAATAGGAATTGTTAAGTTGAAACATAAGATATTGGCCTACTTGTATAAAATGCTCTCAGTCTTCTCCTGTCAAGTTTTCTTTATGGGTGGAGAGCACCTTCTACAGGAAATGGAGCTAATCCAAGTGAAAAACTTCACACGTTTATTAGTCCTTTCTTGTGTTAAACAGTTCAAGCATTAGGAGGATTTAACACACTTTTAACCCCCAAAGATCACGTTTCATGATTCCTATAAATGTTTATATAACCTCCAGCCATGTTAAAGTGAAATACAGTTTAAAAAGAAATGAAACCTCCTAACTAGTCTCTGAATGAAACCCTGAAAAGCAGCTCAGTAAAAGCTAAAATACCCAGGATGACACTCCACCATAACTCATTCCTGTCCAAAATAAGGACCAGACTCGGTGCAATCCCCATATGCTTCTTGCACTCAGCAATCTCCTCCCATAAATTGATTTGTCATGGCTATCTTGGTGCAGAAGTTCGACATCTTTTTGATTGAATCCAGTTCTCCAAGGTGGACAAGTATTTGAGACGGCATCAGAAGTGCACCAAACCAGCCAAATGGGGGGGTTAGAGTTATTAACAATCCAAAAGAAACCCAGAGCCAGAGCAGTTCAACATGCTTTTACACCATGGTGCTGCAGCAAGAGGCCAGACTGCAGCTTGTGATCCTTGGTGAGGTCAGCTGGATCCTGTTATTTAACCAAAGGTACAAATACTGCCACTTGGATGCCCTGTAAACAACTTTATCATCTCTGTTATACAATTAGACAGCCAGACACCAGCACATACACTAAAAAAAGAACTGTTTTGTAAATCATCTCCTTCTCTGCTTTTCCACAAAGCAATAAAAGCCAAGCAACAACAGCTCAGCTTCCTGCATTCCCAGTTACAATTGTAGGAGTAAATTGCTGCTTACAACAGGTTTGCTGTCTGTTCAGCTTGGTGCCTTATCTGCTGATAGGGACTTGCCAAAGTTATTTCCAAGGACAACTAGACCTGCTGCCCAGGACTTTGGGTAGCTAGAAAATGTGGAGATGCAGGTGGGGAAAACCTTTGCTTCCTCCCTGTGTTACCCAGCCTGGAAGTAGTAATCTAATATTATTCTTTGAGCATCTTGGAATTATTTTTTCACCTGATTTATCTGGTTGCTTAAATGTTGCATTAGAGTACTGTGGGAGAAAACACAAATGTACTGCTAATTCCTGTGGCCATGTGCTGCTCATCCTGGGACTTCAGCTTAGCAAACCCACAGCTCGGTCCAGATTATCAGGGCTTAAGGATGTCCGAGATGAGTTGGCCAATTTGGGCTGGCAGAGGCAGTTGGTGGCAGGACGGAAGCTTGAGGCTTTGGTGCCAGGTAACAAAAAGATGAGTCCTTGCCACTTCTCACACCGTCCAGAGGATCTGTGCTGTCTGACTCTTTTCCCTTCTGGCACAGGTCTGAGCTCTGGCAAGGGTGAAAGTGCCCCGGTCCTGGAGGACTGATAAGCTTTGTGCGGTGGCTGCCAAAAGAGGATGTGGAAGTTTCCTCCCAGCATTTTGTTTCTTATTGTGTTGCTACCTTCCGAAATTGCCGAGCTTTTTCACATCCTGGAGAGGGCTTACATCACGGGATATTTAGGAAGAAGTAGTCAGGAATAACTCCTCCGCTCCTTAGCGTTTGGCTTCAGGACCAAACCTTGGGGGGGGCATGAGGAGCATCACTCACCATTGACTCATTGCTGATAACTTCTAACACAGGTTTGATTTGAAAGCTTTTAATTGCCTACCCGATATCTGGCTGAATGAATTGTTTCACACTGAGTCCATCCCTGAAATCACACACATGAGTCAGGACAGCCCTTTGGAGACCTTTGTAATTTTATTGGAGTGCAGGTCGTGTATCTGTTTCCTGGCTTTTCAACCCGTTCAGCAGAGGTTTGGGTGTTGCACTCAGTGATTACGCAGTGAGAAATGAAATTGTTCTGTCATATTTTTACCCTGTTTTGAGAGGCCTGAGCCTTTTTCTGCACAGTACAGAAAGGTGGTAGCAGGCACTTGGGATTTCACAGCTACTGGTGTTACAGGCAGGCATTCAATAGCACAAAAAAGAGCTACTTTTGCAGCTTAGGGATTTGTATATACTCTGGAAACTAACTTTTCAAACGAAGCATCACTCAGTGTGGCTAAGCTTGTCTTTTCCACTTACTTCTACAGGTGTTCTACGTCTCAGATCTCTTCAAGCCCAAGACAAAGACTTGCCTGCCTCCACCGCCCATCCGGAAGGAGATCCTTTCACCTGTGGACATCATTGAGAGGAATAACCATCACAACATGGTGTAGAACTTCGAGAAACCGGATGGGTGTTGTATTTTATTTTAAACTTTTTTTTTTTTGCAAAAAAAATGACTGCTGACAGCAACTACCTGCTGCTCTCAAATCTCATCAGACAGTAGAATGTAGGGAGAGACTTTCTTGCCCGACCAGTAAAGTCTTACTCTGTGGTCTTTTCAACTTGCGACATTTGGATGAAAGGGGTGGTGGTGGTCAACTAAGGCAAAGGCAACAATGAGAAAGAAAAAAACCACAAAACACAAAAGCCGAACAAACAAAGAGAGGTGCCGGAGTTCTGGATGTGCAATTGGTTTGAGTGTTCATGTTGTAGTGAACGCCAAATTGTTCATAGCCCAATGAACACTAAGGGGTTTTCGGAAAGCTGGCCATCCTAGGTTTTTTCTTACTATGAAGATTTCCAATGCTTGCGAGAAAAAAACCAACTCATGACTAAATTGTATAGCACTATATGCAAGCAACAGCACTGAGTCAAGATCTGGGGTTGGTTTATAAGAGTTGCTTTTTTCTCCTTTTGATCCTAGCTTATTTTTGCCTCCTCTGTTCCATACTGTGACTTAATTTAGAAGAAGCTTGCCCAGTCCAAGATCTCCGAAGGGTCTCTGTTCTCTCTGTTCACACTACATGCCTTTAACGAGCGGCCCTGAGACGCGCAGTGAGGCTGGAGAACTCCCTCCTCCGCGCAGAGAAGCCACATTTCTTCCTCTCCGCTCGCTCCCTGGTGAGGGTTCATCCTGTCTGAGCCCCCAACGTGGCCCTTCACGAAAAGAGCATCCTCCACTTCCCAGCCATCCCCCTCCCTCAAAAAATCACGGCAGATATTCTGTGTGCCCACGGGAGCTGGCGGTTTGCAAGTGGGTAGCGGCGGCTCTGCCGAAGACTCGTTCGCACTACGACCTCGGGGCTGAGTCCTGGGGAAACTTTTATTCTGCAGTTTTGGGACGGGCTGCTGGGCGGCACGTCCTGGCCTGGGTGTCAGTCGGTTTGTGCATCCCCTCCTCCTCCTCTTCCTCCCTTGGGCACCCCGGTGTGCACCATGGCAGGTACCAGGTCCTGTGCTCCGCTGGGTCACGCTGGTGGTAAATCAGTTGTGCCGATACCGAGTGTGATGACTAATTTTTTTTTTGCCCAGAAACCACAGGTTCTTGGTTTGCAGCCCTTTCACCAAGCACGTTTGCAAAGGGATCCCACAAAACATGCAGAACGGCCATTTGCACATCCTTCTTACAGAATCCGTCCTATCATTTCAACTTATAGCAAGCTATGATTTTTTTTATATTATAAATATTATATAAATAATGTATAAAACCTTAAAAATTAACTATGTAAAATATTATTTCTGAAACAATTTTAGATATATCCACTATGACTATAAACTGTGTCCTGACCTGTGTTATTTACATTTTGCTGCTTAAAAAAGCATTGAATTAATTTTTTTATAGTCGACTAAAATATTGTAGGTCTGTGGTAGTAATATTTTAATGAAAATAACTACAATTAGAGACACTTGTATAAAAAATCATATTAAATTGTCTGTATTTTTGTAATGTTCCATTTTGTAAAGAGAAGAATATTCAAAGACTTTTGTAGAATACAAAACTGAAGTTTGTATCTGCGAAATTATTGCTGTATAAATGTGCTTTTTAAATAAAAGCTCATAACACAACTAAACATACTGGTGCAAGTTGTGTTCTGCCTTTGGGTTGCCCTTTCCTTGCCAGAGAAATAAGGTCCCTGCCCAGTGGGACAGCTGGAGTTGTGATGTGGATGTTGGATGACACTTGGGGATGTGGTGGTTCAGGAGGGCATCTAGATAAAAAGGACTTGATGCCGCTTTCAGTGGGCACTTGAGAAGGTTCCACCAGTTCCTGGCTGGGGACACTCACAGGTTTTTGCATTGATCTGTTCTTTGGTATGCCTGGTCTTAAAGCAAATCTCATTTTATTGAGGGCACCTTTAGCAATGTTAATTTAGAGAAATTAACAGCTGCTGGCTGTCCTAGACAGCCCCTATCTAGGAGGGCTCCCAGCTACTCTCTGCACAAACACCTTTTCCATAAAAAACCAGACATGTCACAGCTGAATAAAAAAACCTGCAGCTTGCTGGGTTGCAAGTGTGGGTGGAAGGGGAAAAGAAGAAAAAGAAAATGCCACAACAACATGTTCTCAGAAAGGCACATGTGCACAGCATACGAGGCAGCCTTGATTTTATTTTTTTTATTATTATTATTTTCCTCTTCCTACAGAAGCAAATGAACTTCTTGGTGGTGACACACGGTCAGAGCTGCGTTTCGACCACTCCTTGGGTGAACCGCATCAGCGAGATAACACAGCACAGAAATAATATGCAAGAATGCATGACAGGAAGTGAATACCACATCAAACTGCAAATAAAGAGCAGGTGGAAATTAAGCCAGCAGAACTCAGCTAGCACTTGCTATTATTATCCTAATTAGAAGTAATATTTTATTACACGTGGAAAAAATTTGTAAACCCTCACCTGTCCTAAATGCAAAGAGAGTTTTCATGGTGCCACGTGTGACTTGAGTGTAAAAGTGTTTGGGGGTTGAGCAGGTTGTAGAGGTTAGACATCAGCTTTAGGGCAATGGGTGCTGAGGACAGACTCTTAATCTCCAGTTTATCTCCAAAATATGCTGCCTGGGTCTAACTAATCCACGTGGGAGGAGGAAACACTGCCATGTCTGCCTGTGCCTGGCAGGAGCCTGGCTCTGTGGAGCCCTTCATGTGCAGAGCTGGCTCCAGTGCAGCAAACCCTGGGCTGAGTAAAGTGTTGGCTTGCATCTTAACCCCAGCTACTTGGAAAAAAACAGGAATACAGATGTCTGGGTGAAAGAGGAGGGCTCAGAGAAGTGTCAGAGGGGAAACAGCACAGGAGGTGATAAGAGTCAGGGCAGGGCTGTGGGGCCGGTAAGTCATGAGACCTCACTCAGGATGTGTGGGTCATCTTGGGCAGAGGGAGAAAAGGCCATGGATAAATGTATAGAAGGCAACAGGCTTGAATACTATAGCATGGGGCTGAGCATCAGCAGTGCCAAGTCCTATTTCTGGCTGAGCGATGGTCGTTTCCTCCTCTGCTTCCTGTCCGCCTGTCAAGTGCTGTCCGATTCCATCCGATCCTGGGAGGGTGACAGCAGCTTCGCACGGCAGCACGTGCTGGGTGGGTGAGAGCAGCTTTGGTGGGGGTCACCCCTATTGACTGGTTGGGAATTAAATGAAGTGATAATTACTGGAGGCATGGGTGGGAGAAGGTGATATGTGGTGTCAGAGTCCATGGAGACCTTTCTGGGCTAGCAAAGCACAGAGCAATGTTTTGGTGCTACTGAAGGAAATGAGCACTGATTTTAAATGAGTATTTAAATGAAACTCCACAGAGAAGTGAAAGCCAAAGGAGCAGAGGTGTAGGTACCTCAAGCCTTAAGCACAGCGACAGGGCGTATCTATTGCCATCGCTTCCTGAGGGGCAGGAAGGAAGTGCAAGAGAAATGAGTGAAATGGAAAAGAAAACAAACCCAAACCCATACGAGCACTTGGATCCTGAGGCAACCACTTCTGCAGTGTCTGCAGGTGCATCTGGTGCTTGCACCTTGCACTGCTGTGGTGTTTGGTCCTTCCTGCTGGGATGCTGAGCAGCCGGGAGACTTTGGGGTTTGCATGCTGCAGCTCTCTGCAGTGATCCTGACAAGGCAGATGGATGAACAAACTCAGATGTGTTCATGCAAACAAGACCTGTTGCTGGAGCCTGAGGCTGGATGCTGGTTGTGGCCTTTAGTGCTGCAAAACCTGGGCTCTGCTGATGCTGATGCTAATCGGAGGTTGTGGAGCACCCAGCCGTCTGCCTTTGATGCTGGGGCCTGGCTGGCAGATCCTTTCTGCACAAGGGGACATTCTGGTCAAACCTGTCTTTTTTTGCACAGAGACCGGTTCAACGTGTTTTCAAAGGCAGGGATTCATGCATGCACCTGACTGCCATGGGAGCAGGTCCTTTGTTCCAGGGTAAGAAGGGTTTACGCAAGCCCTAGGTTCGGCCATGTCTCGGTGTACCTAAACAGCTTCACTCAGCAAGAATGCTTGGCAGCCTTCAGAGGCTGAAGCTGTTGTACTTCTGCTCAATGATTTTCGGATATGAAGTTCTCAATCAAGGGAGGGGGAGGAAAGAGATTCATCCCGCAAGCAGAGACCTGTTTTCTCATGCTCCAAGCCTGCTTGTTTTGGGTGTCCGAAGGTTTCACCCAGCTGTTTGTAAAGATGAAACCAGCATTCAGCCATGGAGACAGAGGACAGGTTGGGCTGAGGTCCTGCTGCACCAGAGGGCTGATGTCAAGCCCATATCCATGGCTGGGGTGAAGCATGACTATCCCTGGAGTCAGCACCCCACTTCAATTGCATTTCTCCCCCCATTGTCCCTTTCCTTTGACACACCCTCTGCCTTCATCCACTGTTCTATTCTCAAAAGGCAAGCGATTCCTGCCTTGTGTTTTCCTCTGGAGACCAGATCAGAGGTTCAGATTTTTATGAATGAAGTGAATCACTTCCCTCCTGGCTTCTGTAAACATGGTCCCTATACCTGCCCACAGATAGGACCTACTGTCCCTTCCCTTCAGACTTTTCTACCCTTGTTCCCTGGGTGCCAGGTGATGCTTCTGACACAGCCCTGATGGCCAACTGCTTGTCTTACCAAGCTACATCACAGCTGAACAGAAGCTGTCACCTTCACTGAAGAAAGAGAAGGCAGAAAACAACCTCCTGTTGACTCAGCGAGAGGAAAAAGACTCACAAACAAACCCCAAAACCCAACAACTTTCAATTATCACCTTTGCACGCCACCCCCACTGGCACCAGCCGGCACAGGAGTGCCTGCGTTAGCTTGTCCTGAGTTATAATTTCCTCAGGGCACAGACTACACCTATGTGTGTGTTTGGGTAATAATGATCCAACTGGTTGTGTTGAGTCCCTGCCTCATCCTATCTGTAGCTAGAAGGGAGCGAAGTCACCGGGAACATCTCCCAGTTTCCTTAGAAAGTCTTGTTCTACGAGTTCCTGCCCTGCTCTAGAGCTGCCGACTGCCACCGCAGCGGTAGCTTGCAGGCAACGCTGCTTTTAATACATAGTGGTGTGGCCTTGTGCAGCATTTAATTTTTGTCTTTAACCCAGAAAATAACCATCTTTGCTTCTGTTTTGGTTTTTTGTTTGTTTGGTTTTTTTTGTTTTTTGGGGTTGTTTTGTTTTGTTTGTTTTGTTTTGTTTTGTTTGTTGTTGTTGTTGTTGGTTTTTTTATTATTATTTTTTCTCTCTCTCTCATCAGGTAACTGTGGACTGTGTTTCGGGACTCGTGAAGTGTGAGGCTGCCAGACAATTCAGTGCTGGTGGCAAAGGCATCAGCATCTGCGGTGTCTGAAGGCATGAACTCTGCAGGGTTTGATCTCACTTTATGTGAAGGGTTCATAACCAGCAGGAACAATGGGCTATTATTTAAGAAAAACACCTTTTAGTGTTTCCACGTGTCAGCAGAAAGTTGAGAAACAGAACCACCAAAACACCAAACTGTGTGTACACACACAGCTATGGATGGGAGAAATGGGAATTGTGGGGAATTCAGCCTGCTCCTGAAATCTTTGAAGTGATTCAAAACACACCAAAACTTGAAATAATGTGACTTCTCTTTCCCACCTGAAAAATTAATACATTGAAACAAAGCCATCACTTCGTTTGTACAGGAACTGGTGTGAAAATCTTGGCTTTCCCATCACACTTTGACATCTCCATTTCCAGGTGTGCGGTGTGACTGCATGCAAGCTGAGGTCGGCCTGAGATATAAATTAAATAAAGGAGCATTTAATTCTTGCTAGGCTGCTCTTTCCCCTGGAGAAACACCGTGAATGGAACAGAAAGAAAAGTGCTGTTTTAATAAGGAACTCTGAAAGAAAATAAAATCTAAAAAGAAAATAAAATCTAAAAAAGAAAAGAAACCCTCTTTTATTCAAAGGAGGAAGGGAGCCAGATCTCCCATGAGCACCATCATTTCAAAGGGACCTGCCTTCTGCACAAGTGCATAATTTGCTTATTTTCAAAGAAATTTTAGTGATGTTGAAGGCAAATGAGTAACATTGTTCCAGCCTCCCAGGGCTTGTCTGAACAAGAAAAGTTGTTAATGTTTATTATGAGGTAAAATTTTAATCCATTTCATTAAACTGTGTAGATATTCTTAGTTTAGTTTTAAGCAGGATTAGTCCTGTTTACCTCAAGTCAAGTAAGCACAAGTATAACGTCAACTGATATAAGCCTTGCTTAAATTAAAGGAAAAACAGCTACCATGACTTAGGGGAACGAGGAAAAAGCCCACTGAAGCTTTTATTTAAAACAAAAAAATTGGGATTTTTTTTTCCTTTACAAGGTATTTCTTTCAATAGGAAAACAATAAAACCCAGAAAAAGTCTATGAAAGTTTTGCTTGTAAACGATGAGACAATTGCAGCTGAAAAAACACTGCTTAATTCTGGAGAGGTAATTCTTTTCAGCAGACCCAACCTAAGAGTTGCCTTGAATGGATATGGTGCAAATCTGGGCCTGTTAGATATGGCATTTCCAATTCACCTGCCTCTGAGAGTCACCAACAGTGACCATCAACAAAGTATTTAATGCTGAGGCTGGTGGG